GAGGGGGGGGGGAACCACAAGCTACGACCTCCCCTCCTTTGCACGGGACGGCTTGTCTCCCGTTCAACGCTCACTTGGGGATCGCTGCCTCCATCCAGCCCGGGAGGAGCGCGCGTGGTTAACGTGCAGCGGGATGTCGTGGGAATGGAACCGGGTGGATAGCAAGGACTGGAGGGGGAGGGGGGGGGTTCCGGAAGGATTGACCCCTGGAGAACAATTCGTTAGTTGACCTGGGCGGCTGCTGACTGTTAGCGATTGTAAGAACAATCCACCGGGCTAATGTTTGAGTGCACCCCCGTTCCCCGTGTTATAGCTCCAGGTTGGGGCGGGGGTGTTAAGGCAGAGGTTCTGGGTGAGAGATGCTTGCCTGTGTCGGAAGGGGACCTACGCGTTGCTTCAGGACCCGTGGCTAGAAGAAGGCTTCCCTTCAAGGTTGGTGGGCTTTGGGAAGCACATGTTGCCATTCGAAATACAGGGAGGTTCAGAGAACCACAGAAGTCCCGTGTCTCCCGGCACTTGACATCAGCAAAGATGCTTCATTTTGTCCCTGTAAGAGGAGGCTGTTGTGTACACTGAATTGTGGTCTCTTCTTTCCACAACAGATTGTATCTCAGGCTTTCCCCCTTCAAAACTGCAATAGATTCCTTATTATGCCTTTTCTGGAGGAGATGATTGGACACGAATATCAAGGAAGAGACTATGATCAGGATAATTTTCATCAAAGAGATATAAATCTATGCCGGGTAGTTTTTCTCCCTTTTCTCCATGCCTTAGAGTACGGGGATAAATCAAGTTTATGTAATAGGAGAGTATTCATTCTGTTTGACTGTCTCGCTCTATTGGTGGTGGGCGCAAGGATGATAGCCAAACCATTCTCAAGATGTAACAATAGAGCGGGGGGGGGGGGGTTGACTGGAGTTGGGTCACTAGTGTCTTTATTGATTCTTGTGGGTAGAAGAAGAAAGACTGGACAGCCGTTTGTCTGAAATGGTATAGGGTTTCCTGCCTGAGCAGGGGGTTGGACTAGATGACCTCCAAGGGGATGAGGAACTGTTTCCTTTTTGCTTCACTAAAAGCTGCATTTCTGCCAAAGGAGAAAAACTTTAGATATTGTAGATCTGTATTAATCTACTTAGGGTAGTTTTTCTCCCTTTTCTCCATGCCTTAGAGTATGGGGATAAATCAAGTTTATGTAATAGGAGAGTATTCATTCTGTTTGACTGTCTCGCTCTATCGGTGGTGGGCGCAAGGATGATAGCCAAGCCATTCTCAAGATGTAACAATGGAGCAGGGGAGGTTGATTGGAGTTGGGTCACCAGTGTCTTTATTGATTCTTGTGGGTAGAAGAAGAAAGACTGGACAGCCGTTTGTCTGAAATGGTATAGGGTTTCCTGCCTGAGCAGGGGGTTGGACTAGATGACCTCCAAGGTCCCTTCCAACATTATTATTATTATTATTATTATTATTATTATTATTATTATTATTATTATTATTATTATTATTATTACTACTACTACTACTATTATTATTATTATTATTATTATTATTATTATTATTATTATTGAAATTCTGATGTGACTTCATCTCATATTTTGGTTCCTCTGTTGGTTAATTAAGTAGCACTGTAGCAAAAGAGATAGATGGAAGGTTTTTATTTCTCTGTGCAAGCCAAAGTTTTGGTGATCACTACAAGTTTACTAGGTATGTCCAATTTCTCCAGTATGGGGTGATTCAGCTCCCCTGTCATCATGTATCCCTATCATCCAGTAAAACTGAAATGTAGTAGGTTGAGGAAACATTAGCAACAGTTTGTGTATGAATGTGCATGTCAGATGCAATAGATCGTTCTGGAAAAGTTCAAGTCATAAGGGGTTCTGTTTTTTTTAACATTTTAGAGCTGGGGATGAGGAACTGTTTCCTTTTTGCTTCACTAAAAGCTGCATTTCTAGCAAAAGAGAAAAAAACTTTAGATATTGTAGATCTGTGTTAATCTAGTTTGGCATCCTTGGGATGTGTAGATGTCAACTCTCAGACTGTCTGGGGAATTCTGGGAATTGAAGTCCATACATCTCGAAGGTGTCGAGGTTGAGAAATACTAATTTATAGTATTATGTGGGACATGTGGTGGAGTTGTTGGACCAAGAGTTGGGAAGTCCTGATCCAAATTCCCTCTCTGCTCTAGAGGTTCACTCAGTAAATTTGGATCCATCACAGTCCAAAGCTAGGGAGAGAACTGAATTTCAATGAAGGCAAATACAGGTGGTTCTCGATTCATGACCACAATTGAGCCAAACATTCTGTTGCTAAGTGAGACATTTGTTAAGTGAGTTTTGCCCCCTTTTACGATCTTTTCACATTTGTTAAGTGAATGGCTGCAATTGTTAAATTAGTAACACGGTTCTTAAATGAATTTGGCTTCCCCATTGTCTTTGCTTGTCAGAAGGTCACAAAAGACGATCATATGATCCTGGGACACTGCAACCCGTCATAAAGATGAGTCAGTTGCCGAGCATCTGAATTTTGATCGTGTGACCATCAGAAGGCTGCAACGGTTGTATGTGTGAAAAATGGTCATGTCACTTTTTTCAGTGCCGTTGTAACTTTGAACGTGGTCACTGAACAAACTGTTGTAAGCCGAGGACTACTCATAAACAAGAGAATTCCATTCCGTTTTAATTAAAAGGGAGGTTTTCATTTGCTCGATGTTATAATGGAAAGATATAAAAATAGTCATCAGGGCTAAGTCCATCATGAAAGATATCAATTAACTCAGCCAGATGTAATTTTCAAGGTTCAATTTGGTCTTAGATTTGGGCTTTCTTCTGGCAAGAAATGATCATTTACCTGTATCCATGTGGGAGATCTTTTGACTTGGAAAACAGAGCCCAGACAACCCACGGAGAAAAAATAATCCGTTTATTTGGTTATATGCATTTATAGCTGTGACATTTTGTCCAAGAGAATAGCCAGTTTTCCGAATCCAGGTGGTTTGATTTCTCTGAAGTTAGCAGGTTACTCTAAGTAAATGTTGGCCTTGTGGAAAAAAAAAAAAACAATTCACACAACATCTGAGGATTTGGTCAGGATCTATGAATTGTTCCATTTTTGTCCAGGTTTCTTTGCTCACACACTCCTAAAAAATACCCTGTCCAAAAAAGGTCTTTTAAACTTGCATTATGCCAAGATGTGTTGAGCCTGTGAAAGCATTGAACAATAAATGAGAGTGAAGCAGCATGAAGAAAATCCTTTGGTGGCAAAATCAGTAGGAATTACCGGAATGGGGGGGTGGATGAGAACACACACCTGGCTGTTTGATTACTTTGGCATTTGCAGATTTGACAGTCTCTGTCTCTCTGTTGGTTTGATAACTCCGCATTTTAGGTTTGCAAAGTGCTCTGTTGATTGCAGAGATTTCCCAGTTTTATTTTTATTTTTTTTTAAAAAAACCTGTGTGATATGGAAATTTCTGCACATTTTCCCCTTAAAAATTTTCAGTTCCTTTACAAGGATTAAGGAAATGGTCTCTCTCCTCAGCTCACCTCTCCAGTCCTAGATTTCTAAAGCTTGGTTTGATTTTTCTGCCAATCATCTGAGTTCAGAATCTAAGTTTGAGTATGAAAAAGCTGTAATTAAAGTTTGCAGCAAAAAACATAGGCTTTTGGTTTGAAACGGTTGGCAAAAAAAGTGTTCTGCTTTTAGTTAAGGCACCAGGCTAGAAAACAAGAAACTAGGAGTTCAAGACTTGCCTTAGTCAGGTGATTTTGGGCCAATCACCAGGAGATCGCGAGTTCTAGTCCCGCCTTAGGCATGACAGTCGGCTGGGTGACTTTGGACCAGCCGCTCTCTCTCAGCCCAGCCCACCTCACAGGGTTATTGTGCGGAAAAGTGGAAGAGTAAGGCGTGTTGGATATGTTTGCCACCTTGAGTTATCTGTAAAAATAATAAAGGTGGGATACAAATAAAATAAAATAAAATAGCCTGCATATAGATATAGTATATATTGGCTGATTCACAGGAACAGGAGCTTTTCTCATTGTAGGGAATTTTTTTATTTCCTTGCTATTCACTTGGTAATATTTATTGGATATTTTTTTTTCCTCTGCCAAACAAGCTTTTTTGCATTACATTTATTTATTTTACTAACAGTCATACTGAGTAAAATTACTTATAATTATTACTTTCTATAATACTGAGTTCTTAAAAGGAAATGTAGTTAGATAGATGATAAGATAGATAGACAGATAGAGAGATACAGAGAGAGATAGACAGAGAGATAATAGAGAGATAGATAGATAGATAGAGAGAGAGAGAGAGAGAGATAGACAGATAGACAGATAGACAGACAGACAGAGAGATAATAGAGTGACAGATACTGTTTAGCAGATAGATAGATAGATAGATAGATAGATAGATAGATAGATAGATAGATAGATAGATAGATAGATAGATAGATAGATAGATAGATAGATAGATAGATAGACAGACAGACAGACAGATAGACAGACAGACAGATAGACAGATAGAGAGATAATAGGTAGGTAGGTAGATAGATAGATAGATAGATAGATAGATAGATAGATAGATAGATAGATAGATAGTAGATGGATGGATGGATGGATGGATGGATGGATGGATGGATGGATGGTTGGATGGATGGATGGATGGATGGATAGATAGATAGATAGATAGATAGATAGATAGATTAGATAGATAGATAGATAGATAGATAGATAGATAGATAGATAGATAGATAGATAGATAGATAGATAGATAGATAGATAGATAGATAGATAGATAGATAGATAGATAGATATAGATGGTTTTAAAAAATTATTTCACAGAATCACTGGAGCTGGACGGGACCTTGAGAAGACCTTATATTATCCCGGATCAACAACTGTCCAGTCTAGGCTCTGATTGTTCCCATGACACTCCCCACCCTTTCCTACAACTTTGCCACAAGGTTTGATCTGTTTTCTTTGCCTAGGTCACCAGCCCCAATGGGAAATGGTTCGGTGAAACCCAGGTACCTGAAGAGGTCGGATAGCCATGTCGGAACCTGTCCTTTCGGTTGTTCCAGTTGCGGCAAGATCCTGAAAGACCCGGGGCTGAGCATCAGTACAATAACAGGAGCTGCAGATATCCTGAGAGGCAAGATTTGGGAGCTTGAGAAAGAGCTGAAGAGGCAGGAGGAAGAGTTACACGAAAGGAACTATCACATCTTAGAGCTTCAGGAGCAACTCGCCAAACAGACTAAGACCATCGGAGACCTTACCGAGGAGCTCAAGTGTAAATGCATCCAGCTGAACAAGCTACAAGATGTCGTGGTCACTCAAGGGACAAATCCTTTCCTTTTCCCCAGCCTTACAGAGACACCCAGGGCCAGCCATGTGGCAGGCAGCAATAGGAGGAGGGGAGCCAAAGAAGGGGTATCTGCCGAGCCGACCACCCGAACATACGACCTAACTGAGCAACCTCGATTTTCTTTCGAAAAAGCCAGAGTCCGAAAAGCCTCAAGGTGAGCCTTGCTAGTTGTCCCAGTTACATAGGATGGGAGAATTGGTGCGCTTAGCACATCATGTTGTGCATTGACCAGAATGATTACTCAGGCTGACTCTAGCCAGCTGCTGTCATAATGTGAAAAATCAAACATGCTCTTTATTTTTTTTTAAGTCTATGTTTACGTTGCCTTTCAAGGCCAGCATTTCTGCTCTCATCCTAGGGCAGGGGTAGGCAACCTTGGCTCTTTTATGACTCGTGGACTTCAACTCCCAGAATTCCTGAGCCGGCATGGCTCAGCTTGGAAACCTCTCCCTTTCCCCTCAGCATTGCTGGCTGGGGAATTCTGGGAGTTGAAGTCCACGAGTCATAAAAGGGGCAATTTTGAAGACCCCTGCTCTTAATCTTCATCCTAGGATAGGGGTAGGCAACCTTGGGACTTCAACTCCCAGAATTCCTCAGCCAGCATGGCTCAGCTTGGAAACCTCTCCCTGTCCCCTCAGCATGGCTGGCTCAGGAATTCTGGGAGTTGAAGTCCACGAGTCATAAAAGGGGCAAGTTTGAAGACCCCTGCTCTTAAACTTCATCCTAGGGCAGAGTCCGAAAAGCCTCAAGGTGAGCCTTGCTTGTTGTCCCAGTTACATAGGATGGGAGAATTGGTGCGCTTAGCACATCATGTTGTGCATTGACCAGAATGATTACTCAGGCTGACTCTAGCCAGCTGCTGTCATAATGTGAAAAATCAAACATGCTCTTTATTTTATTTTTTTTAAGTCTATGTTTACGTTGCCTTTCAAGGCCAGCATTTCTACTCTCATCCTAGGGCAGGGGTAGGCAACCTTGGCTCTTTTATGACTCGTGGACTTCAACTCCCAGAATTCCTCAGCCAGCATGGCTCAGCTTGGAAACCTCTCCCTTTCCCCTCAGCGTGGCTGGCTCAGGGATTCTGGGAGTTGAAGTCCAGGAGTCATAAAAGAGCCAAGGTTGCCTACATCCTAAGGTGTGTCTGGCAGGAGTATCTGTGTACATAACGCAGAAATGTAGTGCAATGGTCATTGAAACCTGGTTTGCACGTAACAAGCCACGGTGTAACCTGTTTTGTGAAAGTTGTCTGTCTATTAGGGCTAAAGATGACGGACAAAAACTTCTCAACGGGTGTTGAAAAACCCAATATAGAATATCAGTTATGCCTTGTAGTATTGGGTGGAATGGTGTTTATTTTTCTATTTCTCAAGTAGTTTCTGCATGATGGCTAAAATTTAAGTACTGAGCCCAGCTTTGAAATGTAGGTTGCATATTTAAAGTTCTAAAGTTCTGAGGTGCTCCCTGAGATGGGTAGTTTTCTTGATGATGATCTGACCTAGTTAGGGTAATGAAACGTAGGCAAGAAAACAACTACCCTCATAGAGCACCAAGGATACCTTATTTCAACCCTGAGTTACAAATATTCTCCTTTATTTAGTTGTGGTGGTGCAGTGGTTAGAATGCAGTATTGCAGGCTAATTCAATGCTCACTGCCAGGAGTTCGATTTTCATCGGCTCAAGGTTGACTCAGCCTTCCATCCTTCCGAGGTTGGTAAAATAAGGACCCAGATTGTTGGGGGGGTCAATATGCTGACTTTGTAAGCTGCTTACAGAGGGCTGTAAAGCACTGTGAAGCGGTATATAAGTCTAAGCGCTATTGGTATTGGTTCTAAAGTTCTTTCCCCATTTGGTGCCATGGCATAGGTCTGTGTATCTGTCTGTCTGTCTGTCTGTCTGTCTGTCTGTCTGTCCGTCCGTCCGTCCGTCCGTCCGTCCGTCCGTCCGTCCGTCCGTCCGTCCGTCCATCCATCCATCCATCCATCCAATTTGGATGCCAAACTCCCTAAGCTTCCGGGTGGTTTATTAAAAGATATAAAAAAAAAATCTACAGGCCAATAGAAAAACAATTACTTCATCAAATAAGACTGTATTTAAGGTTTCAGGAGTCCATTGCAGTGGGCCGGTCTGTGATGGAGATTCCTTGTCAGCAGGGAAGTGTTTGTTCTCTGAGGACCTTGTGTCTATAACTGCATAAGAGGAGAGAGATTTGGGATGAAAAGAGGAAAGCAGGGAGAAGTGCTGATTGTTCAGACTGGTGCACAAAAGCTAATGCCAGTGCTTAAACATAAAACTCACTACTTATAAATGGCTCTTCCAGATGAAGAAACCGTGGGCTGTTTTTGCTTAAAGTCCACTGGAGTGATTCTAAATGTGAGCCTTATACTTTGTGTTTTCATTATGCTCCCTCTGAAGATCTCTCTCTCTCCCTCCCTCCCTCCCTCCCTCTCTCTCTCCCTCTCTCCCTCTCTCCCTCCCTCCCTCTCTCTCATTCTCTCCCTCTCCCTCTCCCTCTCTCCCTCCCTCTCCTCTCTCCCTCCCTCCCTCTCCCTCTCCCTCTCTCCCTCCCTCCCTCTCTCTCGTTCTCTCTCTCTCCCTCTCTCTCTCCCTCCCTCTCCCTCCCTCCCTCCCTCCCTGCCTGCCTGCCTGCCTGTCTTCCTCCCTCTCTCTCTCTTTGCCAATGGAATGTATCTGTATCTTTGCAACTTAGGATAATTATGGTGCACGTACACAATAGGCTTGCTTTTATAGCTGATGCCTGCAAGAGAGCAGAAGAAAAAAAACAAATATTATTCCAGGCTTAAAAACACTGTTCAACCAATGCTGTTCCCAACTAAAAAATTGATTTCAAACAGCAAAGCTATGCAGCTTCTACAAAGTGATTTTCTTCTTCTTCTTCTTCTCTACATTTCTCGTTTATGCACAAATATAAATAGAGATTAGAGGAAATGTACAATAATTAACAGGTTTTCCCTGTTGAAATGTATGGCTGTGAAAGTTGGACCATCAGGAAGGCTGAGCGCCAAAGAATTGAGGCCTTTGAACTCTGGTGCTGGAGAAGACTCCTGCGAGTCCCCTGGACTGCAAGGCGATCAAACCGGTCAGTCCTAGAGGAGATCAACCCCGACTGCTCTTTAGAAGGCCAGATCCTGAAGTTGAAACTCAAGTACTTTGGCCACCTAATAAGAAGGAAGGACTCACTGGAGAAGGGCCCAATGCTGGGAAAGATTGAGGGCAAGAGAAGAAGGGGACGACAGAGAATGAGGTGGCTGGATGGAGTCACTGAAGCAGTAGGCGTGAACTTAAATGGACTCCAGAAGATGGTAGAGGACAGGAAGGCCTGGAGGAACATTGTCCATGGGGTTGCGATGGATCAGACATGACTTCGCAACTAACAACAACAACACAATAATTAAAATCACAAGAACTGGTTTAAGATGTTGCCCTGTCGTGTACCACAGCACACGGTTGGTTGTGTTCTTATTGCTCTTCTTTTTTCATCCTATCTCTTGTTCTTCCAGCACAGTGTATTCAACCTTGGCAACTTTAAGATATATGGACTTCAGCTTCCAGAATTCTCCTGCCAGCCATGCTGGGTGGGAAATCCATGATGCACCTTAAAAGTTGCTGAGGTTGAAAAACATTGCAGCTAATCCTCAACTTACAATTGAGCCCAAAATTTCTGATGCTAAGTGAGACAGTTGTTAAGTGAGTTTTGCCCCCATTTTATGACCTTTCTTGTCACCGATGTTAAGTGAGTCACCACAGTTGTTAAGTTAGTAACACGGTTGTTAAGTAAATCTGGCTTCCCCATCAACTTTCTTTGTCAGAAGGTTGCAAAAGGTGATCACATGACTCTGGAACACGGCCTCCGTCATAAATATGAGCCTCTGAATTTTGATCACGTGACCATGGAGATGCTGCAACGGTCATAAGTGTGAAAAAACAGTTGTAAGTCACCTTTTTTAAATTGCTGTTGTAACTTTGTATGTAACCACTCAACAAATGGTTGTAAGTCAAGGACTATCTGTATTCTAGAAGCTTCGTTGCTTCAAGGTGCCTCATCTGTCCTAAGATTGCTTAGGTCAGAATATCTTCAGGGCAGCATCAAAAAAAGTCAAAATGGTGGCCACTCGGCTAGGATCATGCATCATGGTTAACTATGTAGCCATGGTTGCTACATCTCCTTTTAAATATCTCCTTGCAGGCTACCCTTCAGAAAATCTCATATTGAAATCAAGATCCTGGTTCTAAGTAAAGTCCTATTCTGCACAACAGATCTATTAAGAAATCACCCATCAAAAGGGCAGGCGGACATGCTTTTTTTTTTTTAATCATACTTCTGGAGTGAATAAATATTTAACCTGCTCCTGCAAGTTTTAGTTCTGAGAGATGATACTCTGCCAGAATTTCACACTGGAACTGGCAATCACTTTATTAGACTTTTAAGTCAGGTTGGGCAACCAGCAAATCCTGGCCTGTTTCATGCACCTACGCCAGGGATAGGCAACCTTGGCTCTTTTATGACTCGTGGACTTCAACTCCCAGAATTCCTGAGCCAGCCATGCTGAGGGGAAAGGGAGAGTTTCCAAGCTGAGCCATGCTGGCTCAGGAATTCTGGGAGTTGAAGTCCACGAGTCATAAAAGAGCCAAGGTTGCCTACCCCTGACCTATGCCAATCCTCCCTGATGACTGAAGATTGGAGAGATTTCCTGTCATTTTAAGGCAAGAAGTACATGAATGTTGAATTTTAAGCTTTGAAACAGGCCCAACATAGTTCAAACAATAAGTCCTCTATGGTATATGTGAACATTGTGTCATCCACAACGTTGCAGGATCCAGTCTAAGTCGGTCACCGGGATCAAAGCTTTATTTTTCAAAGCTTTCAGGCTTGTGCTGGAACTCATCGTCAGGGAATTTCTCTCTTCCAAAATATGTCCACTGGACTGTTCTATGTGAGCAGCACAGTAGCTCACTGGTTAAGATACTGAGCTTGTCAGCTGAGAAGCCAGCAGACCAGGTTTGAGACCCGAGCTCCATGGGATGGGGTGAGCTCCCGAGAGCTTGCCAGACCTAGTAGTTCGAAAGCATGCAAATGTGAGTACATAAATAGGTACCACTTCGGTGGGAATGTAACAGTGTTCTGTGACATCATGC